TGGGGCAGTCCTTCAAAATTCCTACATCACAAAAAAAAATCTGTCAGGTATTCTAGGCCTGTAGGCTGAAGATGGATGCCCAACATTACAGAGGAACCTTGGGTGACTGTCCAGACAGGCAGATGTTTCTGTCATTTCTATAGTTTTAGAAGATGTTTGCTATGCACTTCCCATTTACTCAGGTAATGTTATATCCTCAGGTCCTTAATGGGGTTGAAGATTAGATAATTAAAGTTACAGTTTTCCTTGTTACCAAATTCAGAAAAGAAACTCACTAAAGAGGTGTAAAATGTATAAGGTTGAAAGACATAAAAGCTTAAATTGTTTATCTAAGAAAATGTTTGAGGTCTAAGAAAAATTATTTATGGATTGATAATACAAGTTAGCATAGAAAGTGAATTAGGTACAAAACTTTGGACTTGCCAAGATAGAATAGATGGAGTATTTTCTCCAAATATGCCAAATAAAAATGGAGTGGACCTTGTAAATTTAGTTCTTTCCTGATAATTGTTCTTATTGTATATAGCTTTTATCTGTCATAGTTAAACATTCCCTTTTCATTTAGACAACAAGGGGGAAATTTATGTGATATTTTGATTGTATTCTGATGTTTCCAAGACTGCCAATAAAATTTGCTTTAAGTCAGAGGGCAGAGATAGCTACTAGCTGGCCAAAATTAGCCATAGAGGTTTTGGAGGACTGAGGACAGATAGAGAGACACAAGAAGTGGTAGGGTGGGGCTTAGAGAGGTTCTTGCCCCGATATCTGATTTCTGAGTATTTGTTGATAAAGAATAGTTAGATAAATGCTTCGCCAGCCTGAGAAATCTACATTTTTATTTGTCTTCAGGTTATTGTATAAGGCCAGTCTGGAGGACTCTTTTTAGCACTTCTTGTAGGGCAGATAATAAACATGGTTTTTAATTTTTTTTTTTTGCTGTAAGTATTTAATTTCTCCTGCATGTCTAAAGGGCAGTTTTAGCTAGATGTAGAATTATTTTGTTATTCCTTTCTTCCTTGTGGCATTGTGGTGTTTCACCACGATCTGGTCAACAAGGCTTCTGCCAAGAAGTTTGCTAAAGGAGACAATCCTTGACATATGCTGAGTTTCTTTTGCCCCTTTTCAAGATGCTTTGGTTTTGTTTTTCAGCAGCTCATGTGGAGGTCCTTGGGCGGACATCCTTGGGTTTATTCTACCTGGAATCAGCTGAGCTTTTTGTGCACTTGTCCTTCCTCAGATCTGAAGATGTTTTCCATGCAAACTCACTGTCCCTTCTCCTCATCTTCATGAACCCTCATCACGTGTGTTTGGTCACCATAATGGTACCTCTCAAGCCCTTTAGGTTGTATCTGTATCTATTTTTATTCATTCTTCATTCTTTTTACTCCTCACCATACTTTCAAATGTTTAAGTTTGCCTGTTCTTTGTTTTCCATGTTAAAATTCTCTGTTGCTCTCGCCCATCAAACTTCACTTCACTTAACATAATCTTAGCCCCGTAATTTTGTTCTTTTTCATAATTTGTGTTTCTTTGTTGACTCTCCCATTTTGTTCATTTGTTATATTTTTCTTTTTAATCTTTTTTAGTCTCTCCTTCTTTTCCTGGGTTGTAAAGCAGGTTTAAGGTTATGATTTTAAAATCACTGCCTGGGAACTCTAAGGCGTGCCTTCACTTTTAGCGTCCTTGTCCAGAGATGCAGTCTCTTTCTTTGAATGAACCTCATTTCCTTGTATGCTTATGGGTTTTGTTGAAAACTGAGAATTTGAAAGAATATCCAGACCTGTTCACTGGCTCCATATAGAAGACCCTCGGTGACATTCATCAAGCTGAATGTCATAAAGCATGCATTTCCTATAGATCTGTTTGCTTATGTACTTAAAATTTTCCACCTCCTGCCATATACACAACTCTTCTAACATTCCTTAATTTTTTCTAAGAGTTTTCTTGGAAACATCAATGTTCTGTTGCGTTCCTCTGCCCATTGCCTCTTATTCCATGAGTCTAAAGTCCCCTGTTAGACCTTTTCTGCCACAATGCTCATTACTGCTTTCATCTTTCAACGATTTCCAACCCAAAAGTTTTCCATAGCCTCCCCCAAACACATGTCGGGTCTGTCACAGAAATAGTTTAATCTTTGGTACCAATTTCTGTTTTGGTTAAGGTTTTTATTGCTGTGATAAAACACCATGCCATCAGCAACTTGGGGAGGAAAGAGTTTATTTTTCTTATACTCCCATATCACAGCCCACCATAAAAGGAAATCAGGACAGGACTCAGGCAGGGCAGGAATCTGGAGACAAGAGCTAATGCAGAGGCCAGTAAGTGCTCATCTTCCATCTTCCTTTCTTATACCATCTAGGACCATCAGCTCAAGGGTGGCACCACCTCCCACAGTGAGCTGGGCCTTCCCATGTCAATCATCCATTCTGTCGAGACTACTTCTCACTGATGTTCTCACCTTTCAAGTGACTCTGACTTGTCAAGTTAGCCTAAAACTAACCAGCATGGAAGTAGTGTTCATTTCTGAAACTAAAGTTAGAACATTGGACGCTAAAAAAAAAAAAAAAAAAAAAAAAAAAAAAAAAAAAAAANGCAAAAAAAAAAAAACTCAGATAGAAAAGTTCTTGTGCTTGCCACACAAGCATGAGGACCTGAGTCAGATCCCCAGCACACATGTAAATGCTGGGCACAGCCACACCCATCTGAACCCCAGCACTGAGGGAATGGAGACAGGTGGCTACCAGGTGAGCTCCAGGTGAAATGAGCCAGGCTGTCTCCAAAAACAGGGTGAAGAGTGATTAAGAGAGACTGATGTCAACTTTTGGCCTCCACACACCACTTGTGTGCACCCCAATGTACATGCACATGAGCACACACAGACACTACACACACACATGCACAGTTAGTACATCATGTTCACCTAGAGCTGAATACCTACCCATGTGTAAATATGCACACACACACACACACACACACACACACACATGTTTAAGTGCCTGCTAAGTTGGTACAATCTATTCAGTTTTCAGCAGCACCCAATGATGTAAGCTTTGTGACACCATTTTGGGTAGTTAGCTCTTCAGTTAGTGAACCTTACCACTAAGAAGCAGATATTCTAGTGGAGCTGATGCTTAAAAGAAACACACATGCTGTAGGGCTATTGTTTAGAGCATATTAAAGAGAATGTGTGCTGTGGGGGAAAATCAGACATCGAGAAGAGGAAGGAAGAGTTGGCGCTGTGGCATTCGAGTGGTCTGGTCTAAGGATCACTAAGACAAGTCTCTGCACCAATGTAACTGAGTCAAGAGTAGAGACTCTGTTGGCTGTCTAGGGAAAGAACATCCAATCAGAGAACAGCAGGTAAAGGTAGGAGGCTGGAGCATGGTGACGGGCTGAAGAGGACCAGTGTAGACTTGAGTAATGGGGAAGACGGGTTAGAGATTAAATTGGAGAGCTATTAGGGTTGGCACATTGCTCAAGTCCTTGTAAATAGCCAGCTCTTTGGCCTTCTCTCTGGGTAACAATGGGTGCCACGACATTTTCTAGCACAGAGCAGAGTAATTCAACTTGCATTTTCAAAGGCTTGCCCGGGTCATTGTGCACAAGTCTAAAGGGAGTTGGTGGTTGTTTGTGCCATCCTAGGTATGTTACAGCTAACACTGACACAGAAGAGCAGAGTTTCCCGGCCGCTAAGGCTTTCAACACACACATTGAAGAGCTGAAGCTGGATGTCCTCCTCCAGAAGGTTGACCGCTTACGGTTAAACGAGGCTACCAAAGTGGAGAGTTTTGAGCTACTGTGTGACCACAAAGAAAAGGTAAGTGCTGCGTGGCACTGTTAAGTACTACCCTGCTCATATTGAACTCCAGTACCATGTCACAGTTCATAGGAACAGAACATTTCATGTGTTTTTAATAAAACCAGTGATTTTTTTAAAAATGGAATTTGAGTTAATTAGTTTTATCTAAGGTCACAAAAATAGGGACCAGCCTTATATGGTGTTAGGTTGAGTTTATTAACTTTGATATGTAATACCTGTTATAACATGAAGCATAAGACATTGTGCCCAGGCATGTCATATGTGTTCTCTGGAGAGAATAAAATTGTATTTGAAGTTTTCTATATTGCTATCAACGTAACACCTCTCAGTATTTTAAAGCTATTTCTACCAATAGTCATTCTGCAGTGTTTCATGATGGACTTGAAGAACTAATTTGTCTCACCATCACCAATGACAAAGGGGATCTAAGGGGCTCATGACAGCTCAAGGAGAAATAATATCTTTTCTGCCCATGAGCAAGATAAGCCTAACCTGGGTATGAGCGTTTAGCAACTCCAACACACTGTAAAATCCATGAATCCTAACTGATTAACACATAATGTATAAGCATACCAAAAGACCAGTCTATGCTCCGTAAGGATCTGCAACACTTACTGTCAATAAAAGCTTTAAAATTAAAAAAAAAATCTACATTCATAATTAGTTAAGTAAAAATCCTAATGGCTTTTTGAGTATATGCAGTTCAGTTTACAAATACTGCCTACAGTGCTCAGTAACCTATTCATTACACTGCAGTAGATATCTCACAAAGGATACTGAGAGAGGGGGCGCCCTGGTCCAGGGAGACTGTGTCGGTTCCATCCACTACACAGCTGGGTCCAGTTTCTGTTGAATATTAATTGATTTATGATCCAAATGTAACACTATATCTGGTCGTATTTCTTAGCCATAACATTTGGGTTTAAATGTTAAATACCCGTATGTATAAATTCAGTCATCTATAAATACCATTTTACCTGCCTAAATCTTTTAAGGTACGATCAAAGCAGTTACGTCAGTCTGGACCAATATGTGTATTAACCTAGTGCGTGGTTCTGTCTTTCCAGTTTAGTGAGGAAATAGAGTTTCTGTGGCGGCTTACCCGTGCCTATGGAGACATGTATAAACTATCTACCAATACACAAGAAAAGAAACATTATGCTAATATCGGTAAGTCATTTGTCAAGACTGGTTGTTCTCAGATGGCGTTGTTTTCCACAATAAATCATTAGTAGATTTTAATTCAAGTGAAATCATTTTAGTTAAAGACTCAATTTATTTCAAAATATTCTGGTGACCAAAAGCTGTACACAGTCTTAGAACAAAATGGCCTTCCTGGACTAAAGTTTATGTCCCTTTAAAATAATTGAGCTAATAATTTAGAGCAGGGAACTGAAAAACTCCGACCTCAGTTTTTAAAGGTTATGATGTCACAGGAAGCTAAAACACCTGTGCTGGTCTGGAGGACCATGGTTTCCAGCTGTGGCCGCTCACAGTTACACTCACAACTCACTTCCTGTGGCATGCAGGCCTAAAAACACAGAAATAACCTCTCATGTCAGGAATTTCCACAATGTGTCTGCATGAAACAAAAGCAGCCTTGATGTGATGATTAGCTAAGACGAGCGTATATAGCAACTATGTTGCCACGTGTACGTTTTTTGCATATATTTGAAATTTTCCATAATACAAGTCACGGTAAAAACCAAGGAGACCGTCAAACAGTTGCTGTTGGTGGCTGTGTTGATGTCTCACTGGGCGTCAGAATGCTTTCTCAAGGAAGCCCCTGAGCACCCATCTCTCTGAGCTTCAGAATAGTTAATGTCGTGGCTAGTTTTTACTCTCCTTCTGTTCCAAAGCTTTCTCTTTGGCTGGCTTTTCTATGATCGTATGAGAAAGAAATAGCAAGAGAGAACCCCTCCAAGTCTAGTGCTGGCATTTTTATTTCCATTAAGGATGTATCACTAGAATCTGTGTTGGTCTTTCTTCCTCTGGAAGATTTCCATCTCTGCACTTTAATTTCCCCCTCACTGGAGGAAGATGAGAGATTTCCCCTCTTGTCCTGTTCATATTTATCCTCCACCTTCCAGGGGTCAGTTTCCTATAGCGATCCAGTTGGCAGGAAATATACGTGGTGGAGTTCTAGAAAAGAGATTAATTTCAAAGAAAAGAAAATTTCAAGCAGAGTCTAGAAGGATTTATACTCCTATCTGTGGTGGGGCTGGGGGAATAAAGCATATTGATGTAAAAACTGTTTGACATTCATCAGCAGTAATGCATTTTTCTTAACACCTCCTTCTCTTGGATGTTCTGCTTGCTGATGAGACTAGGGGCACAAAATAGAAGGGGCCTCAGAATAGACTGAGGGGGGCCTCTGACTTTGCTGGGAAGGCGGCTTGTTCAAATAACCATAAAAGAGACTAGCAGAGATGGGATGTTGTTTTAGAAGAGTGTATAGGCGAGTTCAGAGTGTATAGCAAAAGTCTCTAGCAGGATCTAGTGGTTCGTGTATGGAGGTAACCAGTTCCCATAGGTACTATCGTTTTCATCTGTTTTGAAATTCAATGGGAGCTCGAGTGAGTTGTCTTAGCCTTCACTGTCAACTTGACTCAGCTTAGAGTTGCCTGAGAAGGGAATCTCGGTTGAGGGGCGTCCTAGATCAGACTGGTTTGTGGTCATGTCTGTGGAGGGTTGTCTTGGTTGATAACTGCTGCAGGCAGGCCCAGCCCTCTGTGGGCAGTACCACTCTCCGGATGTGTAGTCCTGGACCGAACAAGAAAGCCAGCTAAGCAGAGGCCTGCAAGCGAGACATCAAGCAGCATTCCCCCTCGGTTTCTGCTGTGCCTTCGTGGCTGTGAGTTCCTTGGTGAAGAGCAATGCTGCGTGGAACAGCAAGCAGGCCTGGGGCTGAGTCCCTGCTTGAGTTCCTGCCCTGACTTCCCTCCGCTGTGGTCTCCTACCTGTGAGCTGATAGATCATCTCCTCCCCTAAGCTGCTTTTGGTCATGGTGTTTGTCACAGCAACAGAATGACGCTACAGCAGGAGTTAACCTATGAGACAGCAACATGGGAAACAGGATGTAGGAAATCCAGGAGTAAAGCCAGTAGTGCATAGGGTCAAAATGCGGTTTATCCTTAAGAAGAAAACGTACAGTATCGCAACAAAGAGAGCATCGTTCTCACCCACACAGAAGGGATTTATTCAGTTATTGAAGTAAAGCAGAAAGAATCACTATGTTATTGGGAACAGTGTTAAAGTTTGGAGAGGGGTGAAAAGGGACCCAAGAAGGGACACATGCGTGTATGGCAGTACCACACTGAGAACTTAGTGTATACAAAGGACTGATAAATGGCCATCATGATTCAGTGTATAAAGAATGTACACTTAGTAAGGTCAAGATCGCGTGCACCGGGGCTAAGGGCAAGGACTCGGCCGGCTCTTGTGGAATGTTGGGTTCAGTATGAGGGAGGTGCTGAAGTGTTTGCCCTCATCAGCTTGTGTGTGGTGCCATCGGGAACCCCTTTATAAAACTCAGTGTGCCGTTGTGCAATGTTTTCCAAGTGTGGTTGGCTGTTCATGCGTATTCCAAGTAAACTAGTATTCTCATTCTTAAGGAGGCGTTTCTATAGCACTTCAATGATAGGTGTGAATCCTATTCTATAAGGGAAGGAGCTGCTCTTGGGGGAGAAGAGGAGATGCTACAGCCAGCCTGGATGCTACCTGACTTCCTCTGTTATCCTCAGAGTGGTGGGTTCAACCCTACCTAGCCTGTGGCGGTACACCGAAAGTTTTCAATAGCTGAAGTATTGATTCAGATCTGAGTTTCTGTTTTGAGAAAGTCTTGCTGTACAGTGCAAGCTGGCCGAACTCACAATCCTCCTGCCTCAGACTTCAGGTGCCAGAACTGCGGGTCTGCAGCAGCCACCATACTCAGTTTAGTTTGCTTTTCACATTAAAGAGCACATTTTTAGCTGGATGTGGTAACTCGTGCCTGTAATCCCAGTACTTGACGGGCTGAAGCAGGAGGATAGCCATAAGTTCAAAGTCAGCCTGAGATACATAGTGAGTTCCATACCAGTCTAAGTAACAGTATGATGCTCTGTCTCAAACAAACAAACAAAAAAGTATGTTTCTACCTGGGGAAAGGGAGCATGTTTAAAAATACCTGACCCCTTTGGTGTTTGTCTGAAGGAAATACCAGTTATTACTAAAATGCTTTGCTTAAAACTTTCTCCATCCTAGGTTGATTTCCACACAAAATATATCCTTCAGTGGATAAACTATAACATGCACCTTGAGCAAATAATAAATTACTTATTTTAGATGATACCTATTTAAGATTACCATGCCACTTTTGTAGCATGGCCTTTGTGGTCCCTGGATAGTGTCTTCAGGGCACAGAGGGGCGGGGAAAAAAAGAGGCACAAAGAGTCTCTTTGAAAGTCTCAGAATACCGTCAAGCCATTAGCGAACCTCTGTGAAGAATAGTCCTCACATGGTTAAAAGCAGTTCTAAACTGAGCATGGTAATTTGAGGGCACCATTTATTCCCTAGACCCATTCCCGTTGTGAATGAGCAGGCTGAGCTACATGGGCCATCCCAACCCCTTCACAGAGACCCTGGCCTTACTCTTCAACCAAGTTGCTTGTCTCTCTCTGCACTTGCTTTATACTGAAGGTTGCGAGCCCTGGAAGACAAAGGCCTTCTCTAATTGACGTTCTATTCCCAGATGGTCACACAACATGACAACTAATGAGCACTCAGCAATTGTCGTTTGAATTGATTACACGAAAGCAGTGTGTTTTACTTTAAGTAATGAATAAGAAACTTTCCTTGGCCTTGCCTAAGTCAGTTAATTCAGTGGGTCTCAAATTTGAGCACACGACAAAATCCTTGGCAGCCAGTAAACAGATCATCAGGACTGACCCTTGGAGTAAACCATTGACCCAGCTGGTGAATGCCCTCTTCCAGCAAGTTCCCCCACCTCGGGACCCAATGAGGTTCCCCCACCTCGGGACCCTATGAAGTTTCCCCACCTTGGGACCCTATGAAGTTCCCCCACCTCAGGACCCTATGAAGTTACCCCACCTCGGGACCCTATGAAGTTACCCCACCTTGGGACCCTATGAAGTTACCCCACCTTGAGACCCAATGAAGATCCCCCACCTCTGGACCCTATGAAGTTACCCCACCTCGGGACCCTATGAAGTTACCCCACCTTGGGACCCTATGAAGTTACCCCACCTTGGGACCCTAAGAAGGAGCCATGACTCTGCTGAAGACTCCACCTCCCCCCAACTCCTGCAACGACAGTAACTTCTCTCTTGGTCTTCCAGGGAAAACACTGGGGGAAAGAGCTATCACGAGAGCGCCCATGAATGGACATTGCCATCTGTGGTAAGCACGCAGGATCCCTGTGCCTTAACAACATGGGGACCCCTTGCGACACTCTGGGGAGTTTGGGGGGCTATGACTGCCACGCTCACCACCCAGAAGAGGATAGCGATAGTGCAGCAATTGTTATTACGGTTGTTCTCACATATTTCTCATTAGATATGTTCTAAATGTATCTCATGAGAATCTGACAAGCCTCATGCCTTTGAAGGTAAACTATAATTAAGTCTGATAAAATACACCAGGTTTTCTGAAAACATAAAGTTACATCCTGTGTCTGAACAAAATACAAAACAACTGCTCCAAAGAATCAAAGTGCAGAGGTTGCGGTCTCTAACCTGGTAAGCTATGGGAAACAGAATCCCCAGGTCAGGAAAATCCAGTCTGTGCATACGACGGCACAAAGAAATGTGACTAGCTGGGTAGACAGAGGACGGGCACCTGTGGAACAAAAGAGGAAAAATGTTTCAGGTTTTGTTTGTTTGTTTGTTTGGGGGTTTTCTTTTGCTTCTGTTTTGAGGGTGGTAGAAAGGAAAACTAAAGGCAGCATGTTGTTTTAAACTAGCCTTCCTTTTGCTGTTGTGGCAGTTTTACATCCTTAGTTACTGCTGCGCAGGCTGGCTTTGCTTTTTCTTCTCATGGGCTGTTCATACTGTTACCCCAGACATTAAAGCTCTACAGTGAAAAGTTAACTTATGACCCTTTGTTCAGTGCAGGTTTTCAGAAACATGCCCACTCTGGGGTTATTTTGTGTCTTTAGGGGCATCATTAGGCAAAATCTGTTTCAAAACATCCACCTCTTCCCTGTTCCTGTTACCTGCCCCTAAGGATCTGCTCACCAGACAAACCAGGAGCAGAGCGGTCTATTTATTCGGTGGTCAGCAGGGGGCGCCCCATTTACAAACACTAGCTTTAACTTCCCGAACAAAAATCCAGCAGTTTTTGTGTGATCTAAAATCTAAGAAACACACCCCAAAATGAGGAATAAATTTTAGCACCCGGGACATGTGACTCGCTTCCCAGCGCGCCCCCGGAACAGAAAGTGAACGTTGCTCTTTCTCTTGGTGCTTCTGTCTAACCTGGAAAAGGAGTGACCGTGAAGTTAACTTTCCGCTGCGGACTTAAAAGATCACTGTAACTGTCTGGTCCCCAGTAATGACACGAAAATTTATTAATTATGAAAACTCAGCCGATAGCTTAGGCTTGTTTCTAACTAGCTCTTATAACTTAAATTAACCAATTCCTATTGATTTCCTTTTTGCTTTGTTGCTTTGTTACCTCCTCTTCATCTTGCCCACCCTGTTTGCTCTGCGTCTCCTGGCATCTATGCCTTCTCCCCAGAATCCTGCCCTGAAAATACTGCCTAGGTATTGACTGTTCGGCTTTTTATTAAACCAATCAGAGTGACACATCTTCACAGTGTACAGAAAGATTATTCCACAACCCAACATTCCTCTGAACCCATGAAGAATCACATTATAAATGTACCTTGTCTTCAGTGAGGACTTTCATCTATGTAAGTTTTCAGTTTTCACACAGAAGCAATATCGAGTCTTCTTCAGGGACCCCAAAAGCACCTGTGCTATGGCTTCCCTTCATCCTCTTCACCCTCTCCCTCATTTTTTTGTTGTTGTAAATTAAATACCTTGTGTATGACAATGGGACTTAATTCCCAGATTAAGTTTTACCATCACAAAGTCGTGAACCAATTATGTTTCACGTGGTGTTTTTAAATTCGGTATTAATTTTTAACTTTAAAAATGTTAAAAATCAATTTAGTTGGTAAAAATTTAATAAGTTTGAATTCCAATTTAACCATAACTCTTAAAGTGTATTCTATCTACTCAGTAGAAAAGCCTTCATTCAACCAAATTGTAAAATTCAAGGCAGTGGCAAAAGAAAATCTTAAACTTTGACCTGTGAAAGAATGGGTGGAATTTAGATAAACTGATTACATAGCTGGTTCTCTCAATGTTGGGGAAACAAAACCTTTATTCTTCTGGAGTCTTTCACAGTACATTAAGACATTAATAAAATTAATTTTATTTTTCATATTTTTTCTCATTCAGTCAACATGAATGGTAAACTGGGATCTGAAGCCTAAGATCACCAAAATAGCTGTTTATTGGACAGCTGAGGTTATAAATTAGCTGGAAAGAGTTTCTCTGCTGTAATTTTAAGACTACCTAAACATTCTATAGGATCCTATTGTCTTTATCATATCAACCTAAAATACTCTGGAATTGAAATAATAAAGTATGTTTGCCAAATAAGTTTGGCTGTAGGTCTAACTGTATCTTCCATATGAGCATGCTCCACAGTTTGTGAGCTACAGCTACACACCTTATAGCATATGTGTACAGGAAGGAAGGTCTGTTTCCATTTTCTAAATAGAAGCAAAGCCCCATACATGTGTGTGTGTTGATCAGTAAGCAAGGCCACACTAATGCAGGAAAGCAGAACAAAACTTGAGATATTATATTCTCATATTTTCAGTCATCCTTTTATTGCAGGAGGCTGTCTCTGATCCCTAACAAGTACAAAGTGCTACTTTTGAATCACAAATAGTGCAAGAAATGAGCGGAGTTATTTTAATTGTTGAAATACTATGGCTGTCACCCAGTAAGGGTATATTCAATACCAGTGCAAATACTTATATCTATAAAATCAGAAGTCTTGTGAAAGCAACAATACTTCAAATAACCTCTAGATGGAGGTAATTCACCGTAGTGTAAAGTAACTTTCTTCAGAATTCCCATCAGACTGAGTTTGAGAAATAAAATATAAAATTACATTTTAAAATGAACACTATAAAAATAACATACACAAAGATAAAGTTGATTAGAAGAAATGAAGTAATGATATTTTAGGAGAAAGTGAGCAAGTGACCTTGGAGTTTATGACACAGAATAAGACAAAAATTATAATATTCTAAGTCTCTAGGGCCATATTATTTGAAAGGAAAAAGAACAATTCCTACAATGTTTATAACTCATGAACTTTCTTTGTCTTTTCTCTTCACTTAAGTAACTTGGAAAGAATTGCAATAAGAGCAGATTAAAAACCCAGAGACTGCATAAGTAGTGCTGATTTTTCAGAAAATATAGGAGTATTTTTATAAAATTATAGAAAACAAAATAAGGGGGTGATGGATTCATGAAAGATGACAATAATAATTCAAAAAGTTTTACCATGTTTAAAAAATCCCTAATAACATGTGAATTAAAGTGTCCAAAATCCTGGAAAGCATTAGGGGAAAGCAGAAAGTTGAATAAGATATAAAGCTTAACTAGTAATAGTATATTAATATGGATTCGCTGTAGCAGTTGTTTATCAGTACCCATGCTGCACTATAACAATACTTCACTATAGTAATAGAAAACGCTGTAATGGGGAAACTAACTGTGGGATGTGCCGCTGCCTGTGCCACGTGCAAAGGGTTTGTACATTTAAAGCCGTTCCGAAAGGAAAGTATACGTGAATAGAAAGTAACCTGAGATTTGGAGTCCAAATAAGCTGAAAAATTGTAATACTCATAACCAAAACAGAGGTAGTTACATGGAATTCTAGGGTTGAAATCACTCCGAGAAGTCTTTGGCAATGATACCGCAGAACTTTAGAGCACATTTCAAAAGAACATATGAATAAGCAATCAACCCAGACCTTTAGTTATTAAAAATGAAGTAGAGCCAGGTGTGGCGGTGTGCGCCTTTAATCCCAGTACTCAGGAGGCAGAAGCTGGTGTATCTCTGTGAGTTCAAGGCCAGCCTGGTCCATATAAGTGAGTTCCAGGACAGCCAGGGCTGTTACACAGAGAAATCCTGTCTCGAAATACCAAATGATAGTAATGGTAATAATAATAATAATATGAGGAGGAGGAGGAGGATGAAATCCTAGGACCCACTGGTAAATTCTATCACATATTTAAGGGGGGGAAACACACCAGCTTTCTCCAAGTTCTTCCGGAATTCCCTTCTTTCCCCAGCACTATAGCATTTCTAGGACAAGATGGAAATATTACAAGAAAGCTGCAGGCCAGCATCTCAGGAGTATAGGTATAGAAATATTTTAAAAAGCATCAGGACACTGAATCCCCACAGTGTACGGAAAGAACACACAGTAGCCATGTGGATTCTTTCCTGGGCTTTTGGGACGCTGGTTCGGCGCAGTTAGCAAATTACCAAAGGGAAGAAGAAGAAAGCATATGCTGACATCAGTAGATGCAGAAAAACACGCTGGACAGACAGCTTTTCTTCGTGGAAAGTAAAACAAACGAAACCTCTCAGAAAACTAGGAGAATGGGAACTTCCTCAGCTTGGCAAAGAACAGACCCCAGACCGGCTGCAGTTACTGTCATTCCTAATGTCGGAAAGTCGCTTTCCTGCTGTGTGAGTGTAGACCATGAGGGGACGTCGGGATGTCACCCTTTTACATTCCAGCTCAGGCACAGAAGGATGCGACAGATACAGACTGAAGGTGTATTCTAAGATTACTCTTAGAATTTAGTCCTCAAAGCAAGGCTGTAGGTTACAAAACTGATGTGCAAAACCCAGTGGCTTTCATATAGACTAGAAATTAGCAATTAAAATTTAAAACGAAAACACATTGCTGTTTGCAATAGCATGCCCCCAAATTTAAATACTTCGGTTTTTTAACATACAAAATATATGAGAAAAACTGCAAAATTCCGGTAAAGGATGCGGAGAGCTAGCTCGTGTCATAAGTGCACAGCCCAGCATTGTCAAGATGTCAGTTTCCCACGGTGGCCCTGAGATTCAATACACCACCAGTCAAAAATCCCATCGACTTATTTTGGGATCTCATGAACATATTTTTTATGGAGAAACAAAAGACTCACGTCAGTGTTGGAGAAGGGGACAGAGTTGAGGAGCACCTTTCCTGGCCTTGAAGGCTTGAGACAGTAACCCGGGGGCAGCAGTGATCACGGAGCCTGCAGGCAGTGGGTACAGATTCCCCAGAGGAGGCCAAGGGTGCTATGGAACAGCGCTGTTCTTATATCCAACCTCAGGGTGCAGAGGAACAAAGTGAAGTCTCGTTTCAAATGTGTGCGCGGTCATGTGTCTTCCTCGCCATCCCCAGGTCATGTCTAGTAGGCTGGATTGATTGTTCCTCCTGCCTCTACTGTAATGGATTCCATTGGCTGTACGGAGAACAATGCCACAGCTGAAAGAGGTCATTCTCTTGGCTGTGCATGCTTGGTTGACTTCTGTCAGCCTTTGTTTCCCGGAATGGTCATCCTGTTCCAAATTGAGAAATCGCTCGCTTCATTTTTGTACTTAGAAATTTTGCTTGTTCAGAGAAATGATTGAGATAGCCTACAAAACCACATTCCTGATCTCAGTCAGTTTAACAATGCAATAACAATCCCATAATCCTAAAATACTTCAGCGTGTATGTTTTGCCTCAGGCAGCAGCATTCTGAAATCCTCCGAAGACTTGCACAGACAGACACAGGTGTGAAGAACAATGTATCACCAGTTTCTAAAGTAAACACGCAAGTTGCGGAACAAGCGTTGCATCCAACCTATAGTCAAATAACCACTGCTATTAATTTTGTATTGTCAATGGGGAAACATCCCCAGGATACACTCTTGTACTAATACACTGTTTCGAACTGGGAGAAATGGAAATTTTTTTCAAAGCATGCTGTAAGATTATCTTTAGTTTTATTTAGTTTTAATCGGGATAGTTGTTTTGTTTCCAGTGACATTTAAGGAGGTCAGGAAAGTTTTAAAGATTGGTTTTAATATGTTTTAAGATTTATAAATCTGTTAACACATTGTTGCCCAGTTTAGTACATGATTGGACTGAGAGAGAGCTTTGTCTGATGATGTCACTGATGATGGTCTCTGGCACTGGCTAAAACCTCCTTCTTGCCAGGCATTGTTCAAATCACATCACTTTGCATGACTCACTTGCCCTCACCACCTGTGTATGGCATAGACAACATTCCTGTGCACAATTATGCCTAAAGAAGTGGCTTCATATTAATGTCAAATATCTATTTATAGGGCCCTTGCATCTATATTATTGCTTCTGTAAAACATTGACGAGTGCTTTAGGGGAATATTCTAAGTGTTATATGATAATAGCATTTTTTTTCAAATTTTACATGGCAGACACTGTTTTTTTTTTCCTTTTCAGGTATGCAATTCTGTGTGGTTATGTGGCTGAGTTTGAGGGATTGCAAAACAAGATTAACTGTGGATATCTATTCAAGGTATTTCTTGGTGTTCAAAATGTTTCATTTTGCTAACTGACATGAGATTACTCGGCATGTTAAACTCCAGGGATTTAGTTTCGTGTTTAAACAGCAGAAAATGAAGCAGTTAATACTGTAATAAAAAGAATCAAACCATTTGGGTGGCTAATCCAAGATGGTACAAGAACCCACATGGTAGATGAATGTTGACTTATTTTGGCCATGAACTCACTGATATCATAACATGTGACGGGCTAGGCAGTCAATGACTTCGGAGACAGGGGTGGGGGATACAGGTTCTAATATAAAGCTTAAAATTACCATGATATGGGAACAAAATAAGCAACTTGCCGACATACCATGTCCTGTTGGCTTTTGTGACCCAATAACTAATTTCTCTGACTGGGTAATTGTGGTAGAAGAAAATGGCCCTTCCCTGTGCCCCAGTGCCCAATACTCACTCTGACAGCGCCGAGGGAAGCCATCCATGGCCTCTCCAGCGCTGCTGTTTCTCTTAAATTAAATCCTGCCTTATGCCATCTTGTTCCAATAAACTCGCTTCTGGGCTGGGGTCGGTGTGTCTTCATTGGGAAAGTCCGGACCAAAAGACATTTGACTTGGGTGCATTCTGGTTTCCCTGTGGCGCTGGGTTTGGGATAAAGCATGGTGTGCCTAAGAAGCATGGTGTGCCTGAGGTACAGGCGCTGCTTTGGTTCCAGGTGCAGGGATCTCAGTTTGGAATTATTGCCGAGGTTTAGTTGTGTGAGTGGTTAGGAGGGGAAGTGGCTGAGACACTGTCAGGCCACCCTGGGTTTCTTAGGCTGGGCGCTGCTCCGCTCAGCCATATATGAAAGCGGAAGCTGACCTGGCTGTGATTGTTTCCA